AGAGACTGACCACGGTAACACCACAGAGCTCCATCGCTGCCTGTGAAGTGAAGCCCTAAAGACAACGCATTTTCTCTCAGGTCTTCTCCTCTCCACCTGGCGGTGAGGAGGGACGGGAGCGCTGCCTCCGTCTGCTGGTGGAGGGCGGAGCCAAAATCAACGCACCTGGCAGAAGAGCGGAAACACCGCCCTCCACCTGGCCGTCAGGGAAAACCTGTTCAAGGTGGCCTGCCTCTCATCACAGAGGTACGACACGCACACCTGTGCACAGTGCGCACCTGCTCAGTGACATCACAGCGTTATACTTGGTGGTGTTGTTCACAGCTGAAGGCGGAGTCAACTCGTGCACGTTTGGAGGAAACACCCTCTCCACCTAGCGGCCAGTCAGGGCTCGCCGACCCTCTGCTCCATGCTCATCGCTGCAGGTGAAGCACTGAGACAACGCGACTGTCAACTATTCTAACAATCGACTCAGACAGGGTGAATCCAGCTGGCTCCACGTGATAGGTCACATTTTCAGAAGAGTCGCTCTGATTCACCGGGGTTTCTTGAATCTGTGTTGAGAGTTTGCGATCGTGACAGATCTGCTGCTCGTCTTTGTCAGTACATGAAGTCTCTGCGAATTTTATTTTTATTGACATTTTATTGATTAATTGTGAAAATAATGGGCAGATTAAAGGGCCATGAGGGAGTTTCCGGCGGCCACTAGCGCTTGAACCGTGAGCGAGCGGAATCTGAAACACAACCGCTTTCATACAGAAATACATACAATAAACAGAAACGCAGGCTGCGGCTTTTCTTCAGACGTGATCAGGCTCGTTACTTCAACGTTCCCGTCTCAGGTCAACACGGCGCAGAGTGACGGGGTCTACAGGCAGGCAGGGACAACAGACAGAGCTGGAAACTCAGCTAACGTTACAGTAACAGTTTCATCAGCTGCAGGTTGAACTAATCCGTTACATGATACGCGGTACATTTACTGCATTTAGCCGACGTGCTACATCGTTAGCTCGCCTGCTGCTTTCAGTAACCATCTTTGTATCTGCGAATGTGTCTCCGGAGGCTCGGCGACGTCAGCACAGCTACATGATAACGAAAGTTTGGTGAGCTGGACTGAATATTATAACGAGACTGTGTCACTCTTTATAACAGTCAGACCGCAGTCAGTGACTTTACTGTAACTAGTGGCGTCTCTTCCTTCCTCTGGGTTGTTGTGAACGTTTTGTAGCAGTGTTGTATATATGTGGGTCACGTTAGTTACAGCGACTGAGAAGATGTGTACCTGAGTAAAACCACAATAAACGTAAATTGAAAGTTACGAAGCAAACAGCGGCAGGTCTGAGCTGCTGTAGCGTTAGCTGGCTGCATCGCTATAGGCTAACGTTAGTAAACAAATCGCTCCTCATTTGCTTTTTACCGTTACATCCTTTCTTGTAGCTAATCAACAGCGGTACACAGGATAGTTGGTGAAGTAATGTGGAAAGTGATAAAACCTTGCACAGGATAAACATTAGCAACGTTCTGCATAGCCGGCGAGCTAACGTGACTTTCTCTGTGTTCTCACTTTGTTCTACTCGACATCATCTGACCCGTTTGGTCTGAGGGATTCAGCACATGAACCTTTCTTGTTGTTTTTGATCCTTACGTGGAGTCTGTGTTTTGCTGGGAGCCGGTTGTTTTACGGTGTTAGTGGCTGCATGTCGTTAGCTGCCGTGTGGTCGCTGTAGTACGAGAAAGGAGCGCACAGGGCTGAATCCGACCCGGAGACCTCACATTAAAAGCAGAATAGTGTCTGAGCAAGCACGGAGAAAACAGGCGTGTGCTTCATTTCTAAGTGAGTTTTGAGCCCACTGACAATAAGGCAATGACAATTTTGATTAGTTTCATTGAAACTTACATTTAGTCCCTTCGATATCGAATCGATAATGAAAGTGATCGATAGTTAAAGCCGTACATAAAATTAACTGCATCTCAAACCTTACATGTTTCTTCTCAGTCCTCTGACTTTTAATAGAGCGTAAAATATAGACTAGAGCTGCAACGACTATCCATTAATCAATTAGTTACTATTAAATTAATCACCATTTTCGTAATTGATTGAAACTGAATATATTGGTTGTGGAGAGGACATTTGAGTGACGTCATCTTGAGCTTCAGGAACGCTGATCACCATTATAGACTGATCAATCAATAGTTAATGGATCGTTAGCTGCAGCCCTAATCGGGACAGAAACTCTGGGAGATTAAACCGAGGCTGTTCTTCAGGCGCTGATAAGAACATGGAGAACGACGAGCCGCTTTTCTTCAGCTCCTCTTCAGACGAAGAAGACGACACCGGGCCAATCAGAGAGCGCGAGGCCGCCTCACTGCCAGTCCAACCCTCGCAAGAGACCTGCAGGGACAACCCCTCTGGACCTCGCCAAGTGCCAAAAGGTACCTGATCCCTTCAAATAAAACACTACGAGTCAGTCCAGACAAAGATGGTAACGTCTCCTCGTCTCCTCTCCAGGTGCGAAACCTGTTAAACTCC